ACATTTTATATATAATTTTATATATAAATAACAATATATATTTAAAGACATTTTTCAATATTTTTTACAAATTCAACAATCTAATTGATCCGACTTTCAAGTATCTAACAATATCTAATTTTGCAGGCAAGATATGACGGAAAGCGACGTTAAGTACATAGTGATACCTCTTCACCATCGGCCTGATTTGATTAAAGACTGTTGTAAGTTGCTTAATTCTGAATGGCCTCGAAGTGAAACTGCACGGTGTGTTATTTTTCTCCTTGGTTTTTAAAGATTACCTAGGAAAATAATGAAGATACATCGACAAAATATAACTGATTTTCATATCGTTATATTGCAGAATGAAATCTCTAAGTGTATCTTGTGACGATTTTCCCACGTGTCTAGTTCTAATTAATGGCGAGAATAAGGTTCTCGGGCACTGCAAAATATCTCTAGTGGCTAGATCGAAAATTAGCTGTTTCATAGAGTCTGGTAAGCAGAAATGGTAGTAATTTGTTTTAATGCACATACATCAATAGAATTAACAAATAGAATAATTTAAAACATATGTTAATAAAGGTAAATCAAAAAAGATAAATCATAATAATACTACATATCTGCAATATTTCAGTTGTAATCGATTATCGATGTAGATCTAAAGGATTAGGATCTAGACTGTTGCGTGGCGTGGAGGAATATGTCACAAAAAGAGGCCTGAAGAACATCTACCTAAAGACGGATGGTCAGGAAGTATTTTACTATAAGAATGGATACAAGGTGTGTGATCCATTTAAAGCGTACGGCATTAATGACATCATAACTGCCAGTCCACCCCTCGGTAGGACCAAATTCAAGGAGCGAAATGGTCAGTCCGCCGGACAATTGCCACTGCCACTGCCACCTCCGCCACCTCCGATGCCGGCGTTTCAATTGTCAAAGTTTTTCGACATGCGAATGCTGTCTCAAAAAACACACATGGTTAAGAAATTATGATACTGGCATTATATTAATTTCAGAGTATGCTCCACTCGCACTTAAAACGAGAGTTTTCACAATTAAAATTAGATACTTACAGAAAAAAGAATTCAATTTGATTTAAATAGAACAAAATGAGAAAATAGACAATTTAGCACATTGCAACTTAACAAAGAACTTGAATCCTTCTATTTAGGAAATCATATTCATTAATCATGTAAATATTAGGTGTGGGAAAAAGTTCATGGCCTTTTTTTAATGCTATCTAACGGGAAAAACGTCACGAACTTTTTTCCACACCTAATATATCGTGTAAATAATTTTTTGAAACATGAAATCATTCGTTCGAAATCATTCGCGAATAAACATGCATTTGTCTTTTCAGCTCGAAATATTAGATACTTCAAATTTTAGGCCTATATTCTTGAATTTGTATACGAAAATCTATAATATACACAATGTATACTATAGTATTATCGTATGTGATATTTTTCGAGAATAAAGCTTCTGTTCTTATTATAAGCTGCAAAGTACAGTGCCAGACAGTGCTAGATTTATTTTTCTAACTTTACATTTAATTCTAATTTATATATGAAATTTCGAGAAGCAGATTCATTGTTTTTTAGCGCCATTTCTCTCGCCTAGATTACTTCTCTATTGTAAATATTCCTTCTGTGTTCGTTATATTCTAGCGACAGAACACGATGTGACAGAACATGGTCTTTTCTATCCAACACAATTCGAACCAGTTGCATAACTTATCAAATGTGATAACGATTTACATAAATATATATATATTTATTTTTCCACTAGAAAAAAATACATGCATCTTATTATTTTTACATCCCTATCATTTCTCTATCGTATCATGACACAGTCGCAATGCCACAGATCTTTTGGTAATAATCAGGATTCTCAAGACATTCGACAAGAAATGCACCCAGGTCATATTTGGAGATTACTCGTCCAGGTGAAGAATCGAATGTGACAGTGTACTTGGACTTTGATGTCTCTGAAGAGAAAAACAATATCTCAAGATTTCTCAAGATTATCATATGTTTCAGCTCTCATTATATAGGTATACCTGCAATGTGCGGTGGCAATATCGCTACCCATTTTAAATCGCTCGATTTGATCAGATCAAACATGCGCTGATGATCTTCAGTTACACTTCTAAATATAGCAGGCACTGCTTCAAATTTGAGGAATAAAAATGCTGAAAATTTGAGCAATGAATATTAGAAAAAAGTATTGCATATACAATAAAGTCAAATATTTAGAGAAGTCCCTAATAGCAAGAAGTTCTAAATGTGCCAGAAGTGTCAAAAGGATGTTTTCTTCATTAGCAAAATTATTATACAATATAATTAAATTATATTAATTACACAATATATTTCTATATTTGATCTGGTCTTTGTAATTGAACTAGTGTACATTCCTATTTAAAATGAGAAATAGCTATATTTAAAGTATAGCAAGAGTAAAGATAGAAAGTTTTAGTGCAGTCTAGTACAATAAAAAATAAGCCTTATAATAATTAATAGTTTTGACAGGTATTTAATATCTTTGTTTTTACAACATTACAATACCTGATAGGCATACAGACACCAATTCAACATTATGTGCTTTCATGGCTTCTATTATATTCTTCATGCCCTGAGACATTACAGTAGTAGGACCTTAAAGTAGCATAAAATGAATAAATAGAACATATGAAACAATAAAAGCATATGTATATATATATATATATATATATATATATATTAAAAAATATATGTGTTTACTCAAGTCTGTCCTAGTGCCAAGTATTACCACAACGGCATCTCTATCAGCTACTGCATTTGCAACTTCTTTTGCATTAATAACATCTCCAACAATTAGTTCAACTTTATTTCTAAGATCCTCAGGAACCTTGTCTTTGTCTCTTACAAAAGCTCTCACCTCCAGACCTAAATAATAGAGATAATAGAAATAATAGAGAAAATATCTACATGTACAATACTTGATTTGAATATCACAGATAAAAAAGAATTAATTTATCATGCCCGAAAAATTACAAAATCATACACACAATAATTATATGTCACATTTTGATATAGGAGGAAATATTAATTATATCATTTAATGGTGATTTTTAATTATAAAAAGTAGATCTATAAAATAAATCTATATAACTCGTAATTATATATTCTAAATTATTTATGATTACTGATCTCTTAAATTGTGGTCTCGAATGACAGAACGAGAAACTTTTTGATAATAATTATAACATGTATAGGTTTGTTCTTTGTAGCTGAACTTTTTGTACTTTCCATTCTTCCTTCTTTTCTGTCTAACTAATTATATATATTCGTCCCGTTTCAAGTGCGAAAGGTGTAACTTGGTGCAAATGCGAAGAGCACGCAGCACATTGTTGGTTGGAAAAAAATACATAATACAATAATAGCGCAGATAAACAGCAGAGTTACCATTTTCCACAGCGGTTCTGAGAGAACAGAGACCGGTGTTCCCAGTGCCGCCAAATAATACAATTCGTTTCTTCATCTTGCGCTGAGCCAGCTGAGCTTGCGTTGCGCGTTATCATGAGACTGTGTGATTACATCTGCCTTGCGAGAATGACGCATCATTTATCTTTTTCTCGGTTTTTTAACAAGCGTTATGAAAAAAATCAATAATGCGTCAGCAGTATTGTCGAGAATACCGATTATACTGATGATAATACAATGATTAATAGCTAGCAACATCTTTTTTCGCAATATTAACCTATTATGTAAGGTATTTTAATACATAATGTAAGAAGATAAGATTGTCGACAATCTTATTTTTTCTTACATCATACATTTTAATAATTATTAAGTATGTTATGTAATCTCTTTCAGAGACGTATGTTTAACGCGAATAGAACAATATATTCAGCAAAAAACAATATTTAGACAATAAATATTTTAATGATATTTCTTCGTACAGAAGCGTATTTTTTTGTTATTGTACCCAGCAAACGAGAATGAATTAAAATAGATTAAAATTTTTTTCTTTCCGAATACGTATTTTAAATAGCGAATACTTTTTTTTGGTTTTAATTGGATTCAATTAGATTCGATTGGATTGAAAAACATTTTCTATTCAAATTCATTCATTTGAATTAAACAGTATTCACAACTGTGTTTATGTGCACAGGAAAAGCTAATATTATTTTTAGATTGAAAAGCATAGAGATCTATGCAATCTCCTATAAATGAATAATAATGCATTCAGGATTGAAAAGCATTCATTTTAATATTTGTGAATCAATATTTCTGAATCCATTTTAATTCATTTCAATCCATTCTCGTTTGCTAGGTACTTATTATCACTAATAATTTATTAAAACTTAATATAATAATTTATTAATAACAGATAATAATTAAAAATTTATTAAAAATTTGAAGATCGTTTCTTATGTAATCATTTGTTTTTTCACAACGTCGTGTCAGTGTCTAAATATTTAGATAATATTTTCTATTTAACATTAAACTTATTATATAACTAGTTACTATTAAATACTGCATATATCTGCATGTTTAGTCAGATTATGTAGAAAAAGTACTACTAGCAGATAGAGCATGCGCTCCTCCATCTACAGGCAATGTCACTCCTGTTATAAAACTAGCATCATTACTTGCTAGAAATATAATGGCTTTTGCGACTTCCGAAGTATCACCATTTCTTCCTAAAGCATGTATATTTTTAAACTGCTCGAAAAAGTTTTTAAGCTGTTCTTGATTCATTCCAGATTTTCGAAAGATATTTGTTTCTATGAGGCCAGGATTTACGGCATTCACTCGCACCTACTTTTACATTTAAAATAATATGAGGCAAAATAATATTTAAAACTGCTATTGTTGAAAAAAAAAAGAAACAATCATTATTATCCCTACACGCACCTGTTGTGATGCCAATTCTAAAGCAACGCAATGCGTAAATTGGTCTAAAGCCGCCTTACTCATGTAATATGCCAGAAAACCTACTCCTGATCGTAATCCAGCTAAGCTAGAAACGTTTACAATATTGCCTTTCGTTTTGGCTAAATATGGTACTGCTAGTGCTGTCAATTGGAATACCGAGCGAACGTTTACGTTCATAATACTGAAAACAGATTTATGTTAAACATACGTTTTGATATTAATGAGTTTTCAAAATAGAGAATTATAATCATTTATCAATATATACATGTTTATACATATAAACAAGTTACTTATTAATACATACTTATCATACTTTTCCAAGCTTGTGGTCTCTATGTTACCGGCTTCCCAAGTTCCAGCATTATTGATTAAAACATCTAATTTGCCATAGTGCTTGATTGTCGAGTCGATGATATTTTTCACGTCGTTCTTATTGGCTAGATCTCCCGTTATAATGAACGGCTTGGATTGCCCACATTGTTCGACTACTTTTTCTAAATTATGTTTATTACGTCCTGTTATCGACAATGATGCACCAAGCTGAGCCAGTTGAATAGCTGTTTCAGCTCCAATTCCTGAACTGGCCCCTGTTATTAGAACAATTTTTCTCGCAAAAGACATCTAAAATAGATAACATTTTTCAGATTGGATGATTCAGTAACGCAGCGCTCATCAAGCGGCTAATTATATAATTATAGCAGTAGAAAGTTGTTGATTCTTATATAAATCCAATCAATCACATTAAATTACGTCATAAAATCTAAGACATTAATATAAAACATATAAGACATTAATATAAGACATTAAAAATGTAATATCAAATTTGCTTGAATATGTATAATTATACATAAACATGTATAAATATTCATAAACATATATAATTATATATTAGGTGTAGTAAAAAGAAATCCATTCTTTTTCCATTCAATTTCATGCAAAAATAATGGATTTCTTTTTACTACACCTAATATGAAATATTAGATGTGGGAAAAAGTTCGTGGCATTTTTTTAATGCCATCTAATGGGAAAAACGCCACGAACTTTTTCCCACACCTAATATATCTCTTTTTCTTTTGTAAAATTGCTTTTTAATGTAATAGAAATAATAATAGTAATGTGAAAACATAAAAAATAATTAAAAGGATAATTTTCACTCTTGTTTTAGAAAAAAACAAATTTAGAAAAATGTAAAAATATTGCTCATACATAATTATGCATAATTTTATATATAATTATACGTAAGTAATTCTTTTACATTTCTTCTATTATTATTTCTATTACACTAAAAAGTAATTTTACAAAAGAAAGAAGGATGTATGAATATGTATAATTATATATGAACATATTTCATATATAATTATACATGTTTATGAATATTTATGCGTGTTTATAGATTTATACACATTTATACATATTCATGAAAAATTATTTACTTAGGTTATTATTATATAGATAATAATATTTTATATTATTTGCAAATATAAATCAGCAAAAATGTAATTCTTTTAAAATAAAATAAGTTTTTCAAAAGGAAAAAAAAGAAAAGAAACATTTAAAATTAAGACACAAAGGTTATTGTTTCGAATTATGTAAAACAATATGATTTTATATGTCCATACATGTTCATACATTCTTTTTTCTTTTGTAAAATTACTTTTTAATGTAATAGAAATAATAATAGTAATGTAAAAGCATTAAAAATAATTAAAAAAATAATTTTCGCACTATTTGTTTAAAAAAAATCAAGTTTGAAGAAATATAAAAAAATTATTTACATGTAATTATATATAAAATTATGCATAATTATGTATGAGCAATATATTTTAAAAAGATATAAATACTTACTGTGATACAACGATATTGAATGATATTTATTTATAAAACGATACAATTCAAATAATTTCGAACGCAAAATCACGAAAATTTGTAATAGCGAGATGCAATAGCGAGATGTCTCTAACACTGATAAGCAAATGTTATAAACCAACATGACTAAATTGACTCTTATATACTGATATAATCCCTACTCTTCTAGCTAATAAAAAAACAGTATAAAGTTCGTCATAATTTTATTTTTTTCTGTACGTTTTAAACCGCCTATATTCTTGTACATAATTAATAATAATATTAATTAATTATAATTCAAACACCACAAAAAATCATCTTAATGTGAAAATAATTCTAAAATGATTGTCAAAATGATTGTCAAATTATTTTTTTATTAATCGCGATTTATTTTAATATTATTTTAATATCATATTATAATCTGTTCTGTTTGGAAAGTTTTCTCTTTTGTAATTATACACTATGTATAAATGTAATTATATAATGGAAAATTTTGAACTTACTTTATTGAGAATAATATTAATAAATTTAGATTATTATTTACTACTTCTTAATATATTTCATCAAATCGAAGAGAAAAACAAATTACTATAAGAATTTTATCGTATCCTAATGATCGAATTTAATAAAGAATAAAAAAAAAACGATATTTCTTTCGGAATATTATTGTATAAAATGATAAATTACAATAAAGAAAAAATATATATAGGCTCTGTTACGAGCGAGACCCGGTATAATACCCGGTACAAAATTTGTCATGCATGAATATGTATAAATATGTATAAACATATATAAACACGCATAAATATTTATAAAAATATATAATTATATATGAAATATGTCCATACATGTTCATACATTCTTTTTTCTTTTGTAAAATTACTTTTTAATGTAATAGAAATAATAATAGTAATGTGAAAACAAGCAATGCGAAAATTATCTTTTTAATTATTTTTTATGTTTTCACATTAGTATTATTATTTCTATTACATTAAAAAGTAATGAAGTATGAATAAAGTATGAATATGTATGAAAATATTTCATATATAACTATACATTTTTATGAATGTTTATGCGTGTTTATGTATGTTTATACATATTTATACATATTCATATGCATGAAAAATTTTTTAATATTTTATATGTAAAATATTAAAAAAGGTCGATATTTTCTGAATGAACTTTATTGAATGATGATACAGGCAAGCTTATAGACTAAGTCGGAGATATATTATTAGCAGCTTATGAGAACAGACTGACTCGATCAAAACTAGAGGGATCTTATTACTACGATAAAATAGATGAAGATTCCAATAAATTTTAATTTATAATGTGATATTTTCTTATTAATATCAAAAATATACGTGATGAAGATGAAAAAAACTGAAATATCTAAGTATCGATGTCTCACGAATCCATTTAGAGAGTTATATCTGTAAGATATCTCATGTATTTTAAGGATAGATAAAAAGGACTAAAAGAAACGATATATGAAAACAGATAAGATAAGTAGCAGAAAACAAGATTTATCAGGAATATTTAGGAAAAAATATGTAGAAAAATTTTATGTTAAAAATGTGACGTTAACAAAAATGACGTGACACGAAATTCAAACATCAAAATTATATAAATAACGGGCAAATGAGAGCACTAAATACGAAGTTTGCGAAATGAAAAATCCTGTATTCAGCAATGTTATATGTAGGTGGAATTATTTATGTGAATTATTACATTATTATACTAATGAACATGTAAAATTTATTTATTTTGTTGAAGATGATCAGAATTTAATCGAAATGTTCGAGGATTGTTACACGATACATATATGTAAGATTGCTGAATACAGGATTTTTTATTTTGCAACTAGAACTGCGTATTTAGTGTTCTCATTTGTCTGTTATTTATATAATTTTGATGTT